TCTACACTGCTAACTCCCAGTGTACATTTTGAACGTTTTACTCTGAGCCCAGCGTTTTGGAAACGCTTCAAGACCTCCTTCACCCGGTCCATCAACTCATTTTCAGACCTCCCCGCAATTAACACGTCGTCGAAGTAGGGCACCGTCCCTGGTACCCCCCTCAAGAGTTGCTCCATCAGGCCCTGAAAGATGCCGGGCGCCACATTTACCCCGAACTGTAGGCGATTCACCTTAAAAGCCCCCCTATGGGTAACAATAGTCTGAGCCTCTGCAGCCTCAGGAGTGACAGGCAACTGCTGGTATGCCTGTGCCAAGTCTAATTTGGCAAAGATCTTTCCGCCCCCCAATGAAGCCAGGATGTGGCTAATAACCGGGACGGGATAGGAGTGTTGTTGTAACGCCTTGTTAAGGGTGCATTTATAGTCTGCGCATAAGCGTATGGACCCATCAGGCTTAACTGGTGTTACTATAGGCGTCTCCCACTTGCTGTGAGGAACAGGTTCCAAAATTCCTTGTTCCACGAGTTTATCAATTTCCCTCTCTACTTTAGGCCTGAGGGGAATTGGAACCTTCCGATATTTCAGTCTGATCGGCTTTACAGATGGGTCAAGTTCAAAAGCAACCGGGGGCCCTTTGTACCGCCCCAGACCCTCTGCAAACACATCAGGGAACAGGTCATACATCATATCCCATTTATTCTCAAGCAATTTGTTAATCCCTGAAATACCAATGCCCAATGGCTCAAACCAGTCCAACCCCAGCAGGTTGACCCGGTCTCCCTCAGCAATAAGACATGACAGTTTAACACATTTCCCCTTATACTCAACATGTACAGTGTCTCTTCCGGCCAGGGGAATCCGGTTGCCCTGGAAGTCGGACACTCTGGTCTCCGCAGGCTGGAGCCGCCGTCTGCTTCTGGTCGGAAACAGCTGTTGCCAGGATGCTGCAGAAATCACCGTTACAGAAGAGCCGGAGTCCACCTCCATAGTGCATGGTCTGCCGTCGAGGAGTGGGGTCACGGTGATCTTCCCTTGGCAACTGGTGCGGTTTACAGCCGATGCGCTTGTCCGGGTCGTTGTAGTCTGGCAGCTTGCTTCCGATGCCGGGAAACGCTGCTTGCTGCTTCGGGAATTTGCGGGGGTATTCCTTTGTGCCGACCTGCTGGTAGGTGAGGGATCCTTCCGTGCCGATCTGCAGACTCTGGCCTGATGACCACGCCGTCCACAGGCTCTGCAGTCGACATCCCGGGCCCAACAGGAGTCGCGCTGGTGTTTCCCGCCACAACCGGAGCAAGGCTTGACGATGGTAGGCTTCGCTGGGGTCCGCTTGCCTCGAACCGCGTTGACGTCATCGTCTGCTTCCTCGCTCTCGCTGTCCCGCTGCGAGTGGACGCTGTGCTCTGCCATCCGCTGGCGGACCTCCTTCGTGGACCTATCCGCTGCTTCTGCGGCCAAGGCCTCTTCGTAGGCCACTGCCCAGGTCAGAGTGGTACGGGCGAACAGCCTTTGTTGTAGCTTCTCGTCTCTGAGGCCGCACACAAGACGGTCTCGGAGGGCTTCTTCCACGTCATGGAAGTTGCACGGCCGTGCGGCTTTGCGAAGGGCCGCCACGAAATCCGCGATGGTCTCGCCTCCGGCCTGGCTCCGCTTGTAAAACGCGTGCCGGCAGGCGATCTCCGACGGTTGTGGAGAATAGTGAGCCTTAAGCTTCTCAGTGATGTCAGCGTAGGTGACAGTCTTTATATTAGTTGGGGCCACCAACGACCTGGCTATGTCGAAGGTCCCCTTCCCGCAGGAACTCAGGAGACACGCCCGTTTCTTGGCCTCGTCTGTAATGTCGTGTGTCTCCAGATGGAACTCGAACCTGGAAAGGTAGGAGTCCCAGTCTTCTGAGGAAGGTTCGAAGCACTCGAACTTCTGGCTTCCAGCCATCGTGGGAGACTTGGGCACCGGAGCTGGTGGTGCCTCCGCCGGATCGGCTGCTGTGCTTTGCCCGCTTTCTTCCGAGTCCGAAGTGTGGATGTCCGCAGGGCTGCCTACCTGCTCTAACATCCCACCTTCGTCGCCAATTGTTAGATCGCACTAACAAAGGACTCTTAGAGTGATTCAGCAAGTGATTCAGCTTTATTGGAAGTAACGAACAAGCACTCAACTCAGTAAGAAACCAGAACAGAAAACAGTGGGAGCTTATGCTCCTTTTAAACATAACCGGGCTAATGTAGCCACGCCTATTTACAATTAACAACCAATGAGATTGCTTAGTTAAGGACCAATGGGAGTCTTTCCCTCCTAGGGAATGGTATCGTTCTGATTGGTCGCTGTTACGAAGCGACCAATAGGAAGTTCGCTCAGAGGAGCCCTGGCCTGGCTCGAAGCTTAACATGGGAGTCCTATGAGGTGATTCATGTAATCGTTTCAATACATTACAACACCAACCACTACAACATTGAGGAATGCCCCCTTTTGTTAAATATTATCTGCAAGTTGCAGGGCAACACAGCCAGAAAAACCCTCTCCCATATGACGCTGTTTGCATGGATTTTTCGGTTCCGGAGCTGGAAGTGCAACCCGCAATTCGGAGAGGTGGAGTCTGTCCCATCCCCTCGCCCTCTTATATTAAGAGATTAAATAGGGTGGAAAAGGAAGGAACCTGTCATCGTGTCATTCTTTGAGGGAGGGGTTAAGAAATGTGCTTTTCTGGGAACACGTGCAGCCATCAAAGGATTGCACTGAAAATCTGGCAGCTGTGCAGCGTTATTTCGGTATGAACGTGTTGATTTAAGAAAATGTAGACCAGAGTAAGTGTATAAGATTGTACTTCTGAGGTTTCAAAAAAGTCCTCATGCCAAGTGTCTCGTGGTGTGGTGTAGTGGTTACAGTGTAGGATTAGGATCTGAGAGAGGCAGGTTCAAATACCCACCTGTCCTGGAATCTTCCTTGGTGACCTTGAGCCAGTCACACTCTCTCCACTCCACTCTCTCGCAGGGTTGTCGTGAGGATAAAAAAGTGGGATTATATAAATGAAGTAAATAAATAAATAATCTATGGAGTGCCTTTCTCCCAACGGGAACAAACTGGCACTTGAAAGGGTTTTCCATAGTAATATTCGCAGAGAAGAAGAAGAGTTGGATTTATACCCTAACCTTCACCAAGAGTCTCAGAGCGGCTTACAATCTCCTTCCCTTCTTTCCTATTCCCACAACAGACACCCTGTGAGGTAGGTAGGTGGGACTGAGAGAGGTCCGAGACAACTGTTCTTGAGAGAACAGCTCTGAGAGAACTGTGACTGGCTCAAAGTCACCCAGCTGGCTCCATGTGGAGGATGAGGGGGCTGGAGAAGGTAGGGCCCCCATTATTTCAACTATTACTTCTTCAATTGATCACTTCCACCCCCATCAAAAAGAGGGGGGGTATATTTTTTTTACACGGCAGACCATAATACAAATAAGAACGACAAGCGGTTTGTGTGTGTGTGTGAGGGCCTTGGTTTTTAACTACGATGAGGGGGTTGGAGAAGGTGGGGGGCAGTGTTCCCTCTAAGCTGAGTTATTGTGAGCTAGCTCACAGTTTTGATGATGAGGGCATCAGAGAAGATGGGGAGGGGCATCATTTCCATTATTATTTCTTCATTCAATCTCTTCCACCCCCTTAAATTTTTTTTTTTTACAGGACAGAAAACCATTCAATTTTTTGACGATGATGAAGGTGAGGGTCCATTAACTTGACTGCTATGTCTTCCTTCGATCTCTTCCACCCCCCGTTATTCTGACTGCTATTTCTTCATTCGATCTCTTCCACCCCCTCAAAAAAAAATTCTTTACACAACCAAAAAACATTCAATTTTTGACGACAATGAAGGTGAGGGTCCCCCATTAATTTGACTGCTATTTCTTCCTTCGATCTCTTCCACCCCCTCAAAACATTTTTCTTTACACAACTGAAAACCATTCAATTTTTGATGACGATGAGGACTCAAAGAAGGTGGGAGTCCCCGTTATCCCAACTACTATTTCTTCCTTTGATCTCTTCTTCCACCCCTTCTTTTTACACGACCGAAAACCATTCAATTTTTTGACAATAATGAGGGCGTCAAAGAAGGTGGGGGTCCCCCATTATCTCAACTACTATTTCGTCATTCGATCTCTTCCACCTCCTCAAAAAAATTTTTTACATGGCAGAAAACAATTCAATTTTTGACGATGATGACGGTGTCAGAGAAGGTGCCCCCCCACTGCGACTATTCTTTCTTCCTTCAATCTCTTCCAACTCCTCAAATTTTTCTTACATGACAGAAAACCATTCAATTTTTGACGATGAGGAGGGCACCCCGGTTATTTTGACTATTTTTTCTTCATTGCGATCTCTTCCAACTCCTCAAATTTTTTTTTTACATGACAGAAAACCATCCATTTTTTGACGGTGAGGAGGGCACCCCCGTTTTTCGACTATTCTTTCTTCATTCGATCTCTTCCAACTCCTCAATTTTTTTTTTACATGACAGAAAACCATCCATTTTTTGACGATGAGGAGGGCGCCCCCCCCCCCCGGTTATCTCATTTCTTCTTCATTCGATCTCTTCCACACTCCTCAAAGTTTTTAACACACAATAGAAAACAATTCAATTTTTGAGGACGACGAGAAGGCCGGCGGCGATTCTCTCACGCCTCAGACCGCCTCCAAGAGCACGCATGAGGCGATGCCAGGCGCGCATGCGTGCGATGAGGCGGCAGACAGCGTTCCCGCGCTTTCCCCCCCTTTCTCCTCCTCCTACTCCCCCGCCCCCCTATGGGAACGACGAGGCTCCCTCAGCGAGAGTCTGAGGCGAAGGAAGGGGGTCGCCGCGCGCGTGCGCGAGCAAGCGAGCGATCGGGGGACGCAGACAGGATTCCATCTCGCTCTGCCTCGGACAGCACCGCGGGGGGAGAGAGGGCGAGGGAGCAGTGCGCCTGCGCCGATCCCGCCCCGCGCGCGCCCCCGGGCGTCCCCTTCCCCTTCCTCCCGTCAGCCGCCGCCATGTTGGCGGGCGGGAGGGCGGCGGGTGTCAGAGGCAGTCCTCGCAGGCCGGCGCCTCAGCCTCGGCCGCCGGAGCCGCAGCAGGTCGGTGTGTGTGTGTGTGGGGGGGGTTTTGTTTTTAGGGGGGCTGGTGGGGGAGACAGAGAGGGAGAAAGAAAACACCCCCTCCCCATGGAAGAAGCCCCCCTCCTCGGGGTTGAGGGAGGAGTTTGGGTGGGGGGGGCCCCTCTTCCCTCGCTGCTGCTCCTTGGAGGGGTTAGGCTGGGGTGGGGGGGTGGAGGGGGGGCTTGTCTGCTTCCAATGGAGAGGAGCAGTAAAAGGGGGCTTGGGTTTTTTTCTTTTCTGGGGTTCCAGATCCCCCCCCTTTTAAAACACGCCCCCTGTGCAAGGTTGCAACCTTAAGCTCCCAACCCCATTTTGCAAAATCTTCTTCTTCCTCCTCTTCTTCTTTTGCATAAAGGAGCTTTTTGCTTGCAAGATTTCCCCCCCCCCCAAGTGGGGAGATGAGATTTCTTTTGCTGTTGTGGGGTGCAGTGCAATGCAATGCACACGTTCGCCTTGCACGCGTTGGATAGGCTGGGGAATAGGGGTTTTTTTTATTATTGCACCGTGCTGGCAAGCGCTGGAAGGCAGATTGGCAGTTCCCCTAATGCATTTAATTCATTTTTTGGGGGTGGGGGGAACGACGGGACACCTTTGTTGTTGTTGCTGCCTTTAAAAAAACAACAACAACGTGCTTGTCGGCTGACACACACAAAAATTCGGATATCAACAAAAATGCTGATAGCTCCTCTACCTGTCATCTCATTATCGAGTGTGTGTGTATATGTATATATATATAACACAAGGTATGTATATATGCACACAAGATAACCACGTTTAAATGACACATTGTAAAACGTGTATATGAGCATAATAAAAAATGCGTATCTACGCACGCGTAAATGGGCATAATTATTATGGAGAATTTAAATCACACTGAGCAAAAGCTTATCTGCAGTAAAATGCCACATAAAGAAATGGGTGTGTATTAGCATAGTGTTTATAAGTCATATAAACTTAATCTGCGTGCATGAGAATGCTGTATGCAAAAATCACATGTATCACTCATGGAAAACAAGCACTCTGCATTAAAATGCCATCTGCAAAAAAATGCGTGTATCTTAACATAGGTTTTGTTTTGCATGATTTAAATTCTGTCTGCTCAAAAATGCCATATGCAGAAAAGCCGTATATCCGTATAGACATGGATATGCATATTGAGTGTGCAATTTAAATAATTTAGAAAATGCATTAACATGTCATATGCAAAAAACGTGTGTGTATATTCATTAGTATACACATGCATTGGTATAGGATTTAAATAATTTAGAACAAAAGATATGCAAACAACATGCCTTCTGTATCCACACGCTTCTGTATCCACACATATGCATAACTAGTCTCCAAATACAGATATAAACCAAAGATTACAAGGATACGTTGTGGGGTCCCTGAAATGGGGACAGAATATGGAAGGAGGTGAGGGAAATATATGGGCGGTGGCGCTTTGGGGGCCAGTGGGTTTTGGAGATGGGGTGGATGGAGTTAGGCATGAGGCAAGTGGGGTGGAATCCAGCAGCTTTCGGGGAAGTTTTATGGGGTGTGTGTGTGTGGACAGGACACTGGCTACTGATGTTGCTGTGCAGAAGAGGCTCAGGAGGAGCTAGACGTCTCTGGGGTTTAAGGACAAGCTCAGGATTTTTTCATGGAAAAGGATGGTTAGTGGGAAACTGGGCTGGAAATACACAAGGGTGTGGACTTGTGTGTGCAGATCTGGGCCTTCGGGTTGCACTTGAAATGTGATGAAGGGGGGTGGTGCTTGTGTGCAGGGGTGTTCTGTGGGCTTGGTTGAACACGCGGTGTGGGGAGGTTGTGTGCTTTGCAGAGTTGCTGGAGGGGAGTTGCCACGGTGGGGGCGTGTGATGCAGGCGGGGAAATTAACACCCTGCATTCCAACAGGCCTTTGTTCCGAATCTCCATGTCGGTGGTGGCCGATTTCTCAGATCCTGCAAAAGCTCTTGTGGCAGTGCCGGAACCGTTAATGGAGCCGAATATCCATTTCCCACATCTGTCTAGCCTAGATTTGATTAAAATTCTTCATTTTTATTTGCTACCATCTTACGTTGTAGTTCTGCATCCCTGCGCGGTTTATCATATCCCACCCTTTCCTTCCTCCACAGGCACCCGGTGACCCTGCGCTGAAATTTTGTCCACCTCTCCTTTTATATAGACATCTGCTTAGTTGGAGGGACTTCCGAACTTGTAATTTTCTTCTCTTGGGATCGTGGGGTTGGTGTGGGAATAGGGATAATGTTAAAAATAGGCGTCACCAGTGGTTGTGTTCCACAGGGAAGTAACTTTGTTGAAGAGAACAAAAACATTTTGCTAGCGCAGGTAGATTGGTTATAAGTGCTTCGTAACGGAACGGAAACCATACTGGCTTTTTTTTAGATGTGTCGGAAGGAATTATTGGCCATGAAGGTGATTCAGTTTCTGTGTCAACATCAACTATTGGTATGCCTGTTATAAAGCGGTCTGACATTTCTAGTACCATCAGCAATTCGACAGAATTGTAAACCTAAATTTCATTTTGATTTCTTTAAAACCAACCATATAAATGCGCATAAATCTGTGTGTTGTGTTCTCAATGACATGTTCTCTCTCTCTGGTTTCGAGTATATAATTTTGTGCCTCCTGACAGGCTTGCGGGTTTCTCAGAAGTAAAGTCCCACTGATACCCAGGGGATATATTCCCCGGTTATGGGATTAGTCAGGTTGTGCCTCCCGTAGTTACTTCAGTAGCCTGGGGCATGTGTGTCTTTTGCAGTTGTGGTTTGAACACAACAAATGAAATCCAGCCTCTGAACTTATAGACAAAAAACAAAACAGGGCTTTTGCTGTGTGCCATGTTGTGGTTAAGTGCACGGACTCTACTCTGGGAGAACCGGGTTTGATTCCCCACTTCTCCACTTGCACCTGGCTGGATGACCTTGAGCAAGCCATAGTTCTGTCAGAGCTGTTCTTGAAATAGTTGAAGGGCGGGGTATAAATCCAATCTCTTCTTCTTCTTACCCCGACAGACATGTTGGGGGTATGATATACCGGTCTGGTATTACAGTTTTGTGACTTTGGAAAAACCAGAGATTGTGAGACAGAGAGAAAAGTTCTTCCTGGATTGTTCTGGTTTCTCTTGAACTACGGCTATGTAATTGAATGATGGATGTTCTGTAATATCACCTCTTAACTAAACGAAATTCCTAACTGGAGTGGCAAAATTCTGCAGTGGAGTTCTTTACGTAGGGTTTCTCGGGTTACCTTAATTCCCTCTGATGTTAACAGATGTCTCATGTGTAATTTTTTGCACAGAACAGCCGCCGCTGGTGTTTGTCAAGGATTAGAAGTAAACCAGCTGAACTAGGCAGGCGGATCTTCAAGTACCAACTTGTAGACATGAATATTTTGAGGTGTGTGTTTGGCGCTTTTAAGAATACAGTAGAATTATTTTGTTTAGGGTATAAATAAACAGGGAGTCTGTGTGTGTGTGGTATAAATAAATTGGGACACTATGTGCTTGTGTGTGTGTGTGTGTGTGTGTTTGGGGATCATCTGTGCAACGCTGGAGAAGGAGGAGGAAGAAGAAGAGACGAAGAAGAGTTGGCTTTATACCCCGCCCTTCACTCAGAGTCTCAGAGCTGCTTACAATCTCCTTTCCCTTCCCCTCCCCACAACAGACACCTTGTGAGGTAAGTGGGGCTGAGAGAGATCTTTGAGACCTGCTCTTGAGAGAACAGCTCAGAACTGTGACTGACCCAAAGTCACCCAGCTGGCTGCATGTTGGAGGAGTGGGGGATCAAAATTAGAGTCTGCCGCTCTTAAGCACTACACCAAAATGGAAGTTTTCCCCAAGTCATGTTAGGCAGTCCTGAGACTAATCTCCTCTTTTGCTGCCCCTCTGTGGGGTTGGGGAAGCCCCCCGAATGCAGGCAGCATGGCAGTTACATTGATTTTTTGATTTATTTATAGGTCTGCTTGCTCCCTGGGCATTACGTTACAGCTTTTCTTTTTTCCTGCAAGCAAATCTTTCCTGTGTGCAAGTAGCAGGGTGTGTTATTCCTTCTGGTCAGCTCAGAATCCCCCCCTAAAACTGTTGGTGGTGGTAGACAATGGTGTCAAGTCACAGCCGACTTAGGGCAAACCCGCAGGGTTTTCAAGGCAAGAGAGGAGCAGAAGTGGTTTGCCGTGGCCTGCCTCTGCGCAGCAACCCTGGACTTCCTTGGTGGCCTCCAGTCTACGTACTAACCGGGGCTGACCCTGCTTGGCTTCTGAGAGCTGACGAGATGGGGCTACCCGGGGCCATCCAGGTCAGGTTCTCCATACCGTGTCTCTGAAGATACCGTTGAATGTGTTTTGCGGCTTCAGTCAAATGACTTCTCTTAGACTACTGGCTTCTGCTTGTGATGTTGTCGCCGCATGTATTTCGGACCGTCTTTGAGGAAATCCCGAGTTTTCCTGGACGCTTACCAGGCATTCCTCAGTCAGAAGACCACGAAGGGAAGACAACTTTCCTTGAAATACATAACACTGTCGGTGAACTACCGTTGTGGCCTGTAGCTGCTGGGAGTGTTGGATGTTCTCTGAAGCATCGGTCTTCCGCCTTCCTGGGACCCAAGCCCTGAAGTGGCTGCATGGAATCTCCTGAACACATGACAGGAAGTCGCATGACCTCACAGGCATGGGACGGAAAGGAAGAGCCAGTGTCTCCTAACTTGCTTGTGCTAATAGGGAATCCTTTCCCCCGTTGAGGGATCGTCCCATCAGTGTACACGCAAGGAGAAACAAGAGGCAGCATGCCTTTGCCAAAATTTTGAGGAAATCTGTCTCCCACATGTGCATGTGGGTACTAATAGTAGCACTTTCCCCCAAGAGCAACAAAAAAAGAACACCTTGTAGGGTCTCCATAACCCACCAGAGCCATGGGACTAATGGTTTCCATTCTTGGGTGGAAGTATGGGTTGTAGCCGCATTGCGGGTTTGCCCATACC